CTATTCTATTCTATTCTATTCTATTCTATTCTATTCTATTCTATTCTGTTCTGTTCTGTTCTATTCTTCTTCTATTCTATTCCCATCCCAGAATTTAAATAATTTGATGCTAATCTTTCCTTTTATAGGGAACTCCATGCTTCTCTAGACAGCCACCTATCTGAAATGGTATGAGCAAGAGGGTTGGATTAGAAGACTTCCAACTCTGTGAGAACCACTAATTGCAAGAACAATTAACCAGTGGAAAAGCTTCCCTTCAGAAGTTGTCCAACAATAGAGCTTTTTAAGAAGGGATTGGACAGTCTCATTTTGTCTGAAATGGCATAAGGTCCCCTGCTTGAGGAGAAGGTTGGGTAGAAGACCTCCAAGGTCCCTTCCAACTCTTATTCTGTTATTCATGAAACAGAGATCCGAGCTAGAATGAAGGAGAAATCTCCTGATTATTTGTGAGAACAATTAACTGTGAGAACGAATTAACCAGTGGTACGGCTTGCTTTCAGAAGTTGCGGCTCCTCCTTCACTGGAGGTTTTTAAGAAGAGTTGAGAAAATCTGTCAACCCTGGAGCCATTTTTGAGCACCTTCAAGTGTCAGCGTTCCAACTAACCAACTCCAATAAACTCTGAGACAAGCATCTTCTCAAAGTTCCATTTTATTAGAGTTGTCATATTGGCACATCTAGGAAAACCTGAATCTGAGAGTTCTGGGTTTTCCTTCCCCCCCCAAAAGAAATCAAAGATTCATTTCTTGCACCCATCAGTCCATCACATGACCCAATCAAATCTTCATCCCTACTGGAGACATTCCTCCAGTCACTCCACTCCAGGTGCAGGTCCACATGTCCTTGACTTTCTGAGAAAGAATGTTGTTGAGTCTTATCTTCTACCTCACTATGAAATCCCCGCACTCCTAAATTCCCAGGCACTGAATGTGGCTGTCAGGCAGTTAGTCCAATAAAATCATGAGCCTGGAGCCACACTCCCAAATTTTCAAAGGATTTATTAGAAGTTAACATGCTGGCATTTGCCTAGGCATAGCCGACTCTGAGATAACCCCAACCCTGCTTTTCCATCCACCCCTCTGGATGTATCATCCAATGAAACACGTTCATAGCCAGGAGTCATCAATCATGCTCTCCAATTAGATTTTTGCCTGGCAGAAGCTTCAGTCATCTAATCAGTCTCTGAAGAAAATACGAATGGAATGTACTTTCGATTCTACACTGCTGCCTCCTGTTTGAAACTCCCCCCCTTCTTTCTGTTGTCAGCTATAAAACTGTGTATACAAAATGTTTTATGAGTTGACAGTAGCAACCTTGAAGCTTCCAAGCAAAAAATGGCTTCCAAGGCTGAGATCAAGCTTGTCACAGCGAGGCTGACTGGAGCTGTGGGAAAGGCAGTGGGGAGTAGAGATAGCTGAGGGGAATATGTAGCTGAAATAACATTCCTTCTTCTGGGAACCAAGGACACTTTCACCAGCCCCTGGAGGGGCGTAGATGGGAGGGCATCTGGGATAGTGAAAGACACCTGACTGGAGCATGTGATGGTTGTGTGTAATGAGGGAAGGAACTTTGGATTTTGAACTGGGTGGGGGAAAACCCAGGGGACTTCAGATTCGGGTTTTCACCAGCTAATACAATCCTAAGTTGCATTAACAGAGGGATACAATTGAGATCAAGTGAGGTACTAATACCACTCTATAAACCTTAGTAAGGCCACACCTAGAGTCCTGCATCCAGTTTTGGTCACCACACTATAAAAACGATGTTGAGACTCTAGAAAAAGTGCAGAGAAGAGCAACCAGGATGATTAGGGGACTGGAGACTAAAACATATGAAGAATGTCACAGGAACTGGGCCTGGCTAGTCTAGGGAAGAGAAGGACCAAGGAAGACAGGATAGCAGCCTTCCAATATTTGAGGGGCTGCCCCAGAAAGGAGGGGGTCAAGCTATTTTCCAAGGCACCTGAAGGCCAGACAAGGAATAATGGATGGAAACTGAACAAGGAGAGATTTAACCTAGAAATAAGGAGGAATTTTCTGACAGGGAGAACAATCAACCAATGGAACAGAAGTTGCCTTCAGAAGTTGTGGAAGCACCATCACTTGAGACTTTCAAGAAGAGATTGGACTGCCATCTGTCAGAAATGGTGTAGGGTCTCCCGCTTGGGCGGGGGGTTGGACTAGATAACCTATAAGATCCCTTCCAACTCTGATTATCTGTTATCTGTGCCAATATGACATGCCTAATAAATCTATACTTTAAGGAACCCTGGCTTGGGCTGTTACTTGGAACCCTAACACAATCATTTTGTCTGAAATGGTCTAGAGTCTCCTGCTTGCAAAGAAGGTTGGGCTAGAAGACCTCCAAAGTCCCTTCCAACTCTGTTATATTGTTATGACGCTTTGATAAATGGGTTGGCCAGAAGAAACGGTAAGTGAATCCCCAATTAAACATTCCAGTTGCCATTATTTTTTACGTTCTCAGCAAAACAGAGAAGCACAGGGGTGGGGGAAATAGCTTCCCACAAACCTATGCCAGGACTGACATTTTGCAAACAACATGACACACACACTCCCTGAGAGGCTTCTTAAGCAAAGCCCACTAAAATGAATAAACATGCGGTGTCGGTCGCCTTAATTCCACAGGAATGTTTCAGGAACACCCCAGGAAGCCTTTTTGCTCCGTGGCAAAGAAGAGTTGTAAATTCCACCCAGTCAGAACCCCTGACACACATTCAGACAGCACACACATTGTGATAGAAAACACATTTTCTCAGCAAGCAATGATTGCAGCCTGAATGTTGGAGCTATGGAGAAAAGCAGGTTTTCGCCTCATGAGGAGAAATGTTAAGCCTGCAAAGAAAATATCCATTTATTTGGATGGCAAAGTAGAGTTTAAAAAAAGAGAGAGAGAGAGAGGAATCCATTGGCTGAGATTAAGGCATTGTTTTTATTTTTATTCAGTCCCGCAAAATATACAAACATTACATTTCATGCATTAGCAAATATACACAACAATTGACGAAAATTGGTGGATCTAGACTTTAAGACTTGTGGACTTCAACTCCCAGAATTCCCTAGCCAGCCCTGATCTAGACAGATAGATGCTAATAAAATGGAATGGGACCAAAATGCATCAGATTCAAAATGGTTGCCATGGCAGCATGATCGAAGCCCCACCCCTTTGTACTGCTATCTTAATCCTCACCCCAGTCAATCAATGCCATTCAAGGCAACTATCCTAAGTAAAGGTAGTTCTTGACTTACAACAGTTCATTTAGCGACCGTTACAACGGCACTGAAAAAAGTGACATGTGGCCATTTTCCACACTTATGACTGCTGAAGCATCCCCATGATCCTGTGATCAAAATTAAGATGCTTGGCCACTGATTCATATTTATGACCGTTGCTGTCATGCCCCTGGTGGAGACTGACTCTGAGGGAGAGGAGGAACAGCCGACAGGGAGTGGAAGTGTGGCTCTGGAGGTTGTGGAGGAGGCTGAGGAAGGGCAAAGGCCAGCTGGGCAGTCAGAGGAGGACCCAGGCCCATCCCCTCTCCATCCTAGGGCACGTAGGGAGGAGAGGATAAGGGAGAGAAATGGTCTACTTGGGAGGAGAGGCCCTTGGTCCTCTTCATGGACTGCAGCTGTGACAACTGAATAAGAGTGTGGACCTACATACTGGCGAACGCTGGAAACAAAGCGTGTAAATATCTCTAGTTTATAATTCCTTTCTGAAAGCTGGATTTGAAACTGGTTAGGTCTGTCGGGTTGGATATAAATGCCCCTAAGCCTCTTTTCACAAAAAAAAACAGTTCTCACCAAAACCTGCAGCAAATCTGGCCCCAAAGAAGATAAATTGGGACTTTTTCTTTCAGAAAACAGAAGCGTATAACCCATGTTTAAAAGCACACAACTGGGAGGGGGGAGACACCAATTTTTTTCAACTCCCTCCTGATACATTTATTGTGTCACCTCTACTCTACTCAAAACCTGTTTTTGGATTTTTTAAAAATAATACTTTTAATGAAGCGATCAGTCCATTTTCTTTGCTATGCTTGATCATCCTCAGCATCATTTAATGGCCCCATAATCCCTTGCGGGGTAGAGTCTGCGCAACTGAATGGAGTGGTTTACTGGCCAGATACACTCCCTGTCACCACTGTGGAGTTTTGTTCAGCAGATATATTCTCAGTGTGCCCAGACAGAAAAATATCTGCTTCTACCTAGGATCGAACTCACAACCTCCTGATTGTGAGGTGAGAGCTCCATCCGCTAGGCCACTGCACCACTCCCTTTGCTAAGCTTGATGATGATTTGCAAGTGGATCGAATCTTTGTTCCTGTTTATCTTTGGATTTCTTAATAGTTTGGAGGATTTGGAGACTGAAGCTTTTAATCTCCCTGGAAAGTTACACTAATAGTTGGGGCGCGAAATTTAAGTTGTAGCGAACCAGGTACCCATCGTTGTAGACATACAGCCTCCGATCTATAGGGCTGTAGTTGATGCTCTGAATGGTTTCCAGCACTTTATCTAGAATAATGCTTAGTTTCCCTTCTTCCCCAGTGCTGGTATCAAAGGAGTAAAATATCTCTTCTTTCCTAGTGTTGAGAGGCCTGGTAGCATAGAGCACCCCACATATAATAAAAGCATTAGAGACCGCGGGCTTATATTGCTTTGTTTGCCATGTGTTAATCACATTTAGAGATGTTTCATTAATCCTGCTAATGACAATGTTACCTTGACTGGCTTCGGTGGAGTAAATCACCCACAACCCACTCTCATCCACGGCAAAATCTATGTCTTGCCAAGCTACCCCTGCGTAGGAGAACCGATTGTTAGAAACAGCATTTGGAAGAGTCTTCCTCAACTCCAGCTTATTGGTGGCCAAATCTATCTTACCCATATCTCTTGAGCCATGTACATTATAGTACATATAATTATTATACATAGCCGTTCCACTGCCTTCACCGTACAGAACTTGGTATTGCCTGGAGTATCTGAAGAGCAATAAGTCATCGTAGGAATCGTGGAGTCGATAATATTCCAGGTATCTTCCATCGGTGTTTAGAGGTGCAACCCAATACATCTGTTTTCCAGGGTTAAGAGGAGAGGAATATGTTCCCCAGGCGCCATATTTGTAGGAAAACCCTCTCCAATTCAGCTGGATCACGTAGGGTTGACTGATGTTCATAATTGGGCCATGACCACAGTTTCCTATAATCAAGAAGAAAAAAAATAGAATGTTTATACATGGGAGATTATAAACAAATTCATGTGTCCAGAATGTTTGACATTCCCTGTAGCTATCTATGCGTAAGCGTCAGATTGAAAATCAGGCTTGTCAGATGCTACATCTTTTATATCCTGCTCTACAGAGTGGAGAGTGTTGGTCTCTGACAAAAAGCCACTGAAAACATTTGAAATGTGGATTTACAGGCGCCTGTTACATATAAATTGGGTTGACAAAATCAGAAATAAGGAGGTGATAAGCCGCCTGGGAAAGCTAAGGGAAATCATCAAAACCATAAAAGAGTGAAAGTTAGAATATTTTAGATATCTGATGGGACACCTGGAAATATATGGCATACTTGAATTAATCCTCCAAGGAAAGATTGAAGGCAAACGAGGTTCAGGTAGAAGAAGAACATTATGGCTTCAAAATCTAAGGGACTGGTTTGGACAAAATTCAGCAGCACTTTTTTGTGCAGCTGTTGATAAAATTAGGATTGCCACCATGGTCACCAATGTCCAGTGATGTGTCAGGATTCTGGCAGTTACTCCAATTAAATCATCTTTTGACAACTATAAAATGCGTATACAAAATGTTTTATGAGTTGACATGATGATTATGGCAGAAGAACAAGAAGTAGCTACCTATGGTTGCAAAAGTTGGACCTTCAAAACAGAAAACGAGAAGAAAATTGATTCATTTGAGCTGTAATGATGGAGAAGGTTCCGACGAGTTCCTTGGGCCACAAAGTTGACTAACAAACAGACACATCACTGGAAGAATAACATCATGAAACTGTGTCACACTTACTTTGGCCATGTGATGTAGGGGAATTTACTGGAGACCACAATTACGGTTGGAAGAGTCAGCAATAAAAAGAAACCAGGCCACCAAAGAAGACTTGATGAAAATTCTTTAATTTCACAACCTATAGATAGATTGAACCCTAGTTTCAAATTGGAAAATGTGACCATCCTAGACCAGGCCAAGTCCAAAAATGCCAGGGAATTCCTAGAAGTCTGGCACTCTGACAAATCAGCCATTGGTAGACACATAGACATGAACAACAATACAGCCGGGGTGGACTGCTACCGGTTTGCAAAGGTTCAGATGAACCGATTGTTAATTTTATAGCCAGTTTAGCGAACCAGCAAATCTCACCCCTGCCTGGCCCCGCCCACCCTGCCTTGCCCCTCCCAGGAGTCCCAGCATGGCCCGTTTTGAATCGCAGGTAAGTGCAAGGCCTGTGTGAAGGCTCAGGGAGGGCAAAAAATGGAATTTCCGGAAGGTCAGAAACAGGACCATTTCCTGCCTCCAGAGAACCTCCAGAACCCAGGGAGCCTGGTTTCACCCTCCCAGAGGCTCAAAGAAAGCCTCCAAAGCCCAGGGAGGGTGAAAAACTGGCCTCCCGGAAGTTCCAGAAGGCAGAAAATGGACCAGTTTTCAGCCTCTGGAGCCTCTGGAGCCCAGGGAGGCCATTTTTGCCATCTCAGAGGCTCGAGGAAAGCCTCCGGATCCCGGGGAGAGTGAAAATGGCTGTCCCGTGGCTTGCTTTCATTTCCTGGGCCAGGGTGGTGCAGGAGGTCAACTAGGCCATGCCCACCCAGCAACCAGGCAGAGAACCAGCTGCTAAATTTTTTTGAAGCCTACCCCTAATCTGCAGACTATGCAAAAGAGACCATCAACCAGCCAGAACACAATGGCACAGAACAATTACAAGAAGTAGTGCAAGATTGGAAGTCATGGAGAGACCCAGCCCATAGAATTGCCAAGGGTTAGACACAACTGAATGGATAACTTCATCATCATCATTATCGCCAAAACTTCCCTCTAATCTTGTGCCATTTATTAACGGTTTTTCTCCAATGTACCATCACTTCTCTCGCTGTGATTTTCCCCTGTAAACTTACAAAAGGACTTTTTTCTTTTTACTTCCAAAATCTTGAATTTTTTTTAGGCATGCAAAGTCCATAGTGGACAGAACAGAGATATAAATTAGATGGTAGGCATGGTGTTTTTCCTCTACTCCTAACTTGTGGGGTTCTGAGAATTTATTTGATTTTTTTTTAAGAAAAAACTCTATTGACTATCATAGAACATGTCTGTGTTTCCCTGCCTAAGGAGAGATTTTTAGCAAAAGAAGCTTCACTGCCTTTTAAAAAGATGTGAAGACCACATGCAGTCCAGGGTCACAACATATCTACCTGTGAGGTGTCTTACCTGTTGATCAGTTAGGTTGCAATAGATCTAAAGGAAAGCTACTTCAAGGTGAGGTTTGTAATAAATTAATAATGCCAAGCAAAACAGATGAGAAGAGTGGGCTCAGAAAGACAATCGCAAAGACATTGGATGTAGTTCCAACTGTTGGGGTGAATGCAGAAATGAAGCTATCATAATGGTCTCTCTTGTGTTGTCTCAATGAATCCAGGGATGAACCTATCATAATGGTCTCTCTTGTCTTGTCTCATGAATCCTAGGATGAAGCGATTATAATGGTCTCTCTTGTCTTGTGTCAGTGAATCTGGGGATGAAGCTATCGTAATGGTTTTTCTTGTCTTCTCTCAATACATCCAATGCATCTCATCTTGCATTATAATGGCAGCCAAAAACAGAGAAACCCTGACATTGATTTTGTCTGCTGGAACTACAGCAAGAAGCACAGGAATTGTCTGACTTTACACTGGTGTGATATCCAATAAATGAGCCCCTTTGATGCTTATAAGAAGCACCATGTCCAAAACTGTCAATTTATATCTCAGAGGCTTCCTACCATGTTTCTCATATAATAAGGCCGGATCTTTTTTTTTTTTTTTTTTAAGGCCTGAAAAAATGGCTAGGCCGTCTTTTCGGGGGTGACTTAATTTTTCCCACCCTTGCATCTTCGGGCGGGCGGGCGGCGATGGCTTGGATGTTGACCTCGCCGTTGGTGGGGCACTTCGTATCGGGGTCAACGCAGGCAGCACCATATCCGGGTGTGCAACAAAAGTACTTCCTAACAGCAAGCCCCACCCCCCAGCCCCATTTTGCATATTTTAATATAAGCCTTAATTTGGGGGGAGGGGCTTAATTTCATTACATGCCTATAAAACATGCTGGGACTTCCTATTGGGGGAGGCCGTATTGTTGGAGAAACAAGGTAGTTTGTGGATCTATTGCAGTTAAGAAATAGACCTGAGGTATCTTTTTTTATATATTGATCAGAATTCACCTTTGGGAACGATGAGAGTCAAATGTGTATTCTCTGTTGAGTGCTTTTATAATAAGCAATTGAACTGTGATTCATTTCATTCTCCTCTCTCTCTACAATTGGCATGCACTACAGTATTCTGCATAGCAGGTGAGGGAAATCAAGAAAGGTTTGATATGTAAAAAAGCATCCATGAATTATAAAGGAATTAGCTCTAGGCTTTTCTTCAGTTTCGGTAGCTATCTGTGGCATGCAATGTTTGTAACAGATATTTATCTCAGTTTTATAAGTTGAATAACCTCACAATCAATAAAGATCCATGCCCGGATCACAAGACAAGATAGAAAGACCCCCGCCTGGATTAGAGGACAAAGGAAAGTATACGATGCCAACAAAAGAGGGAAAGGATTGAAATGGAAAGGGGCGGGTCGCAGGGAGAGGACAACTGACAGCAGGTGGACCAAGGCAGTCATAGAATGGATCCCACTTGATCAAAAGCACCCACGGGAGAGACCTAAAACAAGATGGAGAGAGGACAACAGCAAGGATGGCGTGCCGAATTGGCAAACTAAAGCTCAGGACCATATGGGTTGGGAACATGCAGAAGAGGCCTTCATCCTGCAATGGATAGACAATGGCAAGGAGGAGGAGGAGAAGAAAGAAGAAGAGGAAGAGGAGGAGGAGGAGAAAGAGGAACAGGAGGAGGAGGAGGAGGAGGAGAGGAAACAATGGAAGTAACACACACAAACACACACACACACACACACACAGGGAGGAGAGAGGGAGGGAGGGAGGCAGGGAGAGAGAGAGAGAGAATACCTGAGGGCAGGACAAGAAGCAACGGATGGAAACTAATCAAGGAGAGAAGCAACCTAGTAGTAAGGAGACATTTCCTGACAGTTAGAACAATTAACCAGTGGAACAACTTGCCTCCAGAAGTTGTAAATGCTCCAACACTGGAAGTTTTCAAGAAGAGATTAGACAACCGTTTGTCTCGCATGCACTAAGGTCCCCTGGTGTTCAGCAGGAGGTTGGACTTAGGAAACCTCCAAGGTCCCTTCCAACTCAAGTTATTTTGTAAGGAGGAGTTGGAAGAGGAGAAGGAGAATCAAAGAGAAAGGGAAAGAAAAAAGGAGGAGGAAGAGGATAGGTTGAAACCCAAATATAAATACAAAATTCACGGGGAGAGGGGGTGGAATGTGGGTAAGGATTTAATGTCTGTTGGTTAATTTCCCCAAAGATACTTTTTTTCTCATCCAAGAAGCTTCTTCATTTCAGAACTGAAGAAGCTTCTTGGAGGAGAAGTGAAACACCTTCGAAAAAAAAGACAGTTGCAGTGTCCCAGGGTCCCATGACCCACCTCTGTGACTTTCTGACCAGCGAAGTCAACGGGGAGTCCAGATTAAACACCACAATCGTGCAACTAACTTTAAAAAAAATCTGCAGCCGTTCACTTAACCACTGGAGCAAGAAATGCCATAAAATGTGAGCAAGCTCACTTAACAACTGTCTGGCTTAGCGAGAGAAAATTTGGGGCTCAATTGTAAGATGAAAATTACCTGTTTTCCTCCAAAATAAGGACCTACCCCAAAAATAAGTCCTAGCTTGATTTTTACATGTGTGCCCAATACAAGCTGCATCCCCCACCCCCCCAAAAGCCCTAATTAAGACCCTGTCCACTCTAGGATGCATGGGTAAAAATTAAGCTAGGGTGGGAATAGGGGGTGGAACTGCCCTACGACTTACCTTTGGACAGTTGTAGCCAGGTCTCGCACACCCCGACACCTGCCTTGTTGG